TTTTCTTTGGCTCAGTCCTTTCCGTCTACTTCCGGCCATCTTCTGCCTACTCAGCTCGCTATGACCGCCTGGCCAGTGTGGTCTATGCAGTAGTCACGCCGACCTTGAACCCTTTTATCTACAGTCTTCGTAACAAAGAAGTCAAGGGCGCCCTAAAAAGGGGGTTCAGATGGAGAGCCGCACCTCAAAACAAGTAATGGATGGTCTGGGCTAACTGTCATGTCAAAAATAGTACTACCCCCAAATCAATATAGTCTCCTACCGTCTCTCTCCAAAATCAGTATATTCTCATTCATTTCCCCCTTCCTTCAAGTTCTATTAATTTTGTTCCTACACAGACTTATGCCTAGTAAAATAAAAATTAGATCCCAAGCAAAATATGACCACATGTTTGTATAGCAGAATATAACACAGAGTTAAATGAATGACAGTAAATTGGATGCCTTTGTATGTTGTCTGGGTGCTCAATATAGAGTTTAGTTTCAAATTTGGAAAACTAAGATGAGAACGGAAAGTAAAGATAAGGTCATCGGGTCATACAGCACTGTAAACACAGAGTGCAGGTGACATCAATGGGCAAATGCAGAGGAACTGGGGAAGGTGGGGACGTGGCACTGGGTTTAAGGGGGTCTTGCTGCCTGCACTGCAATGCCAGTCACAGCCATGCAGGCTCTTCTGGGGTACTTCTACATATTTTAAAAGCGATTTTTACTTATTTTTTTTAATTCATAGATGCTCTCTTCTCTGTTTGCATTGTGAGCATTCAAAGAGACAAAATTCTCCTCCACTCACTCAAATAAACCTCGAGTGCCGTCCCAGCTTCTCTGTGCACTAGTCTGCAATTTCCTTTTATTTCTTGAAATGATATATATAGAAGAGCTTGTCGCATTAATCCAAATCACCCCCTAATTCTGTAATGTGAACACCCAGCTACATCTTCCACTGAATATTTAATCAGCCTTGGCAATACTTCCCGCATACAAATATGTCTTCCCACCGTTTCACCATTACTGAGTAGAATGGACATTTAGCAGTGAGTTGCTTGCGGCACATGCTGGCCTAAGTGTACCATGCACGTGACTCTCACTGAGTTCGAGAGTCTGTGAGGAATTCACGCTGTTCAGCACAGGAAACAGACTGAGTGGAAACTAGCGACTGTGCCAAAGTCAGAAGCCTGAGAAATTCACTTTCTCTGTTGAATGTTCTTCTGCCTTTTCTACTTTATTGAACATATAACATTGCTAACATATAAACTTCTTGAACACATTTCTGTCTACATTTGTTTGCTTTAGTTATTATTACTATTTTGTTATTTAGTTATTTTTGTGTAGTGTGCTTCTTCAATGTATGTGTAGCACACACATTGGTGGAGGTCAGCTTCCCTTTGCTTGTCCTGTTCTACTTTTACATTGTCTCTTTTCCTGCTCATCTGACTTCTTTTTTACTTAGATTTCTTTATGCTTTTATTCAGCTTTGTGTTATTTTACTTGACAAAGTTTATCTGCTGTATTAATCATCCCATAGAACGGACATTTAGTTTAACTGGTATCAACTCTATTGTTTCTTGACTTTCAACTCTATCCATGCTCTTCACGCTCACATTTATTAATTTCTACATCTTTTTTCAATAATTTTGTGTTTCTTTTCTAGGTTCCTCCTTAAGGCTTATGTATCATCTTGACTTCCAGAAAGTGTGTCTTATATCATAATAATTGTTGATGGGCCTTGACATCTCATCTGTTAGCATTAACAATCTGTGGTTGTCCTTGGAGAATGGAATTGATGACCCCCTCAGATCTCAGGAGTCCTATAGCTCTACTGCACTGCAGCCATAGATGTTACAACAGGGTCTCTTGGCTTAAAAGCTTCTAGAAATTAAGGCTCTAAACTCCTACTACTGTTTGAGCTCCACCAGTTTGTGTAAGGACCTTTTATATCTTCATGCCTTAGGGTGGTCAAGAACATTCACATTTGTGCGTGGAGTACTTTAAACACTAGTGCCTAACCTTCCATGATGTTACTCTTCTAAAAACCTTCCTATGTCCAGGGTACCACTGAACATATAGAGGGAGCTTGCCATCCCCTTTCAATATCCGAACTTTTTTGGATGTTTTCTTTTTCTTATCCAGAGTATTTTTATTTTTGCCATTTTTCTAATTAAAATATGATTACATCATTTCCTTTCTCCCTCTCTTATTTCAATGCCCCCATATCTCCTATATGCTCTCTCTCAAATTCATGGCATCTTTTAATTTATTACTGTTACATACATATGCACATAAATATATAAATACAACCTTCTGAGTCCATTTAGTGTTGTTGTGTGTATATGATTTGAGGTATGGTTACTTGTTATTGAATGACCAATTAGAAAACATCTCCTTGGGGAAGACTAATGGCTTTCCACACAGGTATTTTACTTATTTTTATTGAAATTATACTTTATACAATGTATTCTGATCATGGTTTCCCTTCTCCAACTTGCCTCAGATCCTCCTTACTCACCCACATCCACACCCTTTCTTCCTCTATCATTAGAAAAACAATAGGCATCTAGAAACAAGGTAGAATGAAATAAAAACTAGAACAGGACAAAACGAATTAAAAAAGCCAAAGAAAGGCACAAAACCACATACAGAGACTCATAGACACACAAATTTGTACACAGAGAAATACCACAAAAAGACAGAAACCATGATATATAGGCAAAAAGTCTGTGAGGTAAAAAACAAAACAAAAAATGAAAAACCTAAAAAAATATCCATTGAGTTTATTTTCTGTTGACCATCTACTGCTGGTTATGAGTCCTGCCCTTAAGCCACACAGCTATTTTAGATGTATATCTATCAAAGCTTACCTTCTGTACTAGGAGAGAAATACAGTGGCATCTGCAAATGATAGACCACAGAAAGAAATTTGAGATGATCACTTAGCACATGCACAGGTAGTTTCCTTAAGTACTTGAAGATAGCGACAGCTGGTTTGCCAGTGATTGGCAGAGGATAATTATTCCTAAGCCGAATTTCAAGTGGACCAGAAATAGAGTTAAAGAAACTAAGACTTCACATAGAGTGTGAAAATGGCACTATACAATATTTTAATAGAAAACTCCTTTTCAAGGACTACTAGAGAAAAGTGTATTGGAAAATGTGAGCAACTTCTTTCTCTACCCCAAATTTAAAATCTTAAGTAAGAGAAAAGTAGACAACTAACCAATGGAGGAAAATACCGTCAACCAGATAAAACGACAACATCCCTAAGAGGAAAAAGGAGGGAAAGCAACTTAAGACAAAGATGTTGCTCAAAGAACACATGAAAGGAAATGTAACTGATAAATATAAAAAAGGGTTTTCTTCACCGAAACAGTAATTCAATTTAAAAACAGTAAAATCTTGTATCTTACCTAGGAGAGCAATAAACATCTGAAAGCAAAATTCCAACATTGGGGATGCTAAAGAAGCAACAATCTTCCCATTTTCTTTGGGGAGATTAGAGTAGAAGAATGTCTCCAGCAATTTGGCAGTTTCCACTCAATTATAAAATGATGATATAATTTGAGCTAATATAGTTATTTCTGAGAATGTATCCATAGGAAAATAGGACAACATTGCAAATTATTTGGATTAAGATGTAAAATTGAGGCAGTATTATTTAAATCAAGAATAAATGTAAAACAATCCAATGTCCATCAAAAGCAAGTTATTGAAATACATTATTCTAAAAGTGTTACAAGTCCTGTCAGGAGGTTGAGGCAGATGAATCACTGCAAATCTAAACCCAGCCTGAGCAACATGGAGAGATCCTGCCTCAAAACAAAATAGAAAATATAAAGGCAATACAAGTCCTTATGTGAAATGTTGAGTCCACAGTACATTTTAAATGAAAACAATTAAACAACTGTTCAGGTCACTTGTTTATTATATCCACTGCTAGGCTGTACAAAGACAATATATAGAATAACAAATTTTAACTGCTTTGATAGAGAAGAGTCCAGAACCACAGGAGATCTTCACATTTGTTAGTTAGATGCCTTCAAGGAGCTGTCTACTAGTTTAGTAGTCAGTGAGTTTTTGAGAATAGTAAATAAAGTCAACATTGGCATTATTGGAAGATTTCTTTCAAAGGTAGTCTTTTAGGCATATTTTAGAAAATATGAAAGATGCATTCAATTCAGGAAATCATCTTGAATAAACACACAAAGCCTTGTTCATTTTAGGAATTAGCAATCACCTATCTTCAGGATGTTTATACCTGGTTTAAAAAAGAGAAATAAAGGGGAGCATCACATTATTTTAACATATAAGGGAGGAAGAACTTACCTTGGGATGAGAAATAGATTCTAGACATATCACTAGTTCCATTTCTTTAGACTATACCCGGGGCCACTCTTTTACTACCTGTAAATTAACCAACATATAATAGGACTGAATAACATCCCAGATTGCGCAACTTTCATTCAAATGAGGAATTAACATACAATTGTAGAGATCATCAATAGAAGTAGCTCATCATTAACTGAGAAATAATTGGTGCTGTGATTTCCAAGCAATGATAATTTTATAATATGACCATGAAATAAGTTCTTAATCAACACAAGGAAGAAGGTATGAAGAAAATTTAAGGAAGAAAAATGACTATACAGAACATATTTTTTAGATCAAGTGCACATTAAGTTGGAAATAGTCCTCATTGAATAGATACTTTTCTCAGAAGCGAAGTACTAAGGTGGCTGAGGAGTTGGAGATGTTTTCGTGAAATTGGAAACTACTGTATATTCTTTGAACACTACACGCCAATGTTAGTGCTTACACAGACTTAAATGGTAATCAAGGAGCACCCTGGGTGTGTCAGGTCTTAGGTTATGCCACACATGAAGTATAGCGGTAAATTCAAGATTCATGATGGATTCTAGCTACTGGAACTTGAGGAAGCCTCTTCACATGTCACTATTTGAAATAAATTGTGCCTACTATTTGAGAACATATTTTTAATCATTAGAGTCATTGTCTCAGAGAAAAGTTAGTCATCTGTTTTGAAAACACCCTTCTTAAAGCCACCTTTATATCCTGATTTCTGAAGCTATATATGAAGGGGTTCAGCACAGGGGTCACCACTGTGTACATCACAGTCATGACAGTCTCCTTCACAGTTGAGTTATCAGTTGAAGGACATAAGTAGAGACCAATGATTGTCCCATAGAAGAGAGACACCATAGAGAGGTGAGAACCACAGGTGGAGAAGGCCTTTCGTATGCTTCTAGAAGAGGGGACTTTGAGGGTGGAGGACACTATTCGTACATAGGATAAAAATATCAATAGGAATGGAAGGATAATGACAAGTCCTCCCATGATAAATATCACCGTTTCATTGACTTGAATATCAGAGCAGGCTAACTTCAGAAGAGCAGACATGTCACAGGAAAAGTGAGGGATCACATGGTCCTCACAGAAAGAAAGCCAAGCCATGAGCAGTGTGTGTGACAAAGAGACGACTGTGGTCAGTAGCCAAGATAGTGCCACCAGGCAGAGACACAACCTGGGGCTCATGATGCTAGCATAGTGCAAGGGAAAGCAGAGGGCCACATAACGGTCATAGCCCATGACCACAAGGAGGAAGCTCTCGAGGCCTGCAAAGAGTAGGAAAAAGTACATTTGTGTCAGGCAGGCAGCATAAGGGATGGATGGGTCCTGGCTCTCCATGTTCTGCAGCAGTTTGGGAATGGTGACAGAGGAAAAACAGAGGTCAGAGAAGGACAAATTACTGAGAAACAAGTACATGGGTATGTGGAGGTGTGAGTCCAGTTGAATAAGGACAATGATGAGGAGGTTCCCCAGGACGGTGGTGAGGTACATGGCCAGGAACAGGGCATAGAACAGGTCTTGCTGGAGGGGTTCGATGGGCAAGCCCAGGAGGAGGAACTCTGAGACAACAGTTTGATTTCTTCTTCCCATGTTGACTTCTTAACCTTTTCAAACTTAAGAATTATTTGAATGAATATACAAACATGTAAACAATGCAGAACTTTTAGGAAGACATTTCAAAAACTAGATCTAACATCTGTGTGTCATACAATATTACTTCATTAGTCATTTCTTTTTATTCCAAGTACCTAATAAATTGTAAATTCAATAATACTGACTTCTATAAGAATGTTCTTCTGAAAGTATATTTGGTATCCCAGCTACCTGGAAAACCAAAGCAGGAGGATCTGAAGTCCAAGGCCTGCTTGAACCACATGATGAGCTTGGGACCAGCCTCACAACTTAATGAAACACATCTCAATCTAAAATTAAAAAGGGCTGGGGCTTACTTAGAATTTCCAGTACTGTGATAAAACACCATGACCAAAAGCAACTCAGGGAGGAAAGGATTTGTTTCATTTACACTTACACATCACAGGTCATCAACAGAGGAAGTTAGAGCAGGAGCTTAAGCAGGGCGGGAACCTGGAGGAAAAACTGATGCAGAAGCCATGGAAGAATGCTGCTTCCTGGATTGTTCCATTGGCTTTCTTAGAGTAGCAAAGACCACCACTCACAGTGAGCTGTGCACGTCTACATCCATCATCAATCAAAAAGAAAAATGCCCACAGGCTTGCCTAGAGGTCAGTCTGGTGGAGACAGTTTCTTAATTGAGGTTCCTTCCTCCCAAATGGCTCGAACCGCTGTTAAGTTGGCATAAACTACCAGCACAGGCTGTGAGTATAGTTCGGCAATAGAACACTTGCTTAGCATGTGCAATGTACTGTTAAATCTTTGGCCCTGGTTTAAAAACAAGTTTTATAATTGTGCCATGAGTGGATTTGGATGAACAAATAGGTACAAATAATACACAAATCAGAAAACATTTTATCATTCTTATTGCTCTGGAGTGATTTCACAGTGATAGTGGTGGTAAAAATGTTGCCCATGGTACTGTTCTTAAGTCTAGAGCAACAACTGTCAAAGCTTGCTGCTTCCCAACGCCAGCATATGCATGTGAAGCACTAGCCCTCTTTACTTTTCACAGCAATCTCATGACATAGATTCTGTTACTCAATATTTTTAAGATAATAAACAGACATTTAAAATCATTTAGCAATTCACCCAAGACCTCATACATATTAAACAACAGTCCTGGGTGTTACGTTCAGATAATCCTACTTCAGTGCCTTGTGTTCAGCTAGGACAATATCTGAGAATGATACACATGGCAGGTTGGTATATGCTATCTGGAGAAAACCTTACAGATGAGAATAAAGAAAAATGAGTTGGGGAAGCATAGGACATGTTCGTTGTTTTCATTCACACATCTGATGGGTAAGGGAAGCTGCATAGGGAATACCCAGCAGCACAGCCAGTTCCGCTTGTTCAGAGAACACAAGGGCAAACAATGAGCCCCTTTGGTAAAAGAGCCCAAAAGAACTAGACACAATGGAGTATACAATACTAATAAGCCAATTTGAGGATCAAGGAATCAAACACAATCCCTGCATTGTCTGCATGTGTGAACATGTAGAGAATAACCATGAGACATTAACACTTTGAGGATGATTCTTTCCTCTCTCTTTTCACCTCCCACTACTGACTGAGGTAGGTAATCATCTCTGTATTCACTGCTTCAGGATACAGACAAGGCTAAAAAACAGAATCTGTAAATTTTCTTAGTTCTGACTTCCCAAACCTCAAAAACCAGAATAAGTGAAAAATTTACTGGTAGATAAAACAAAACAAAAGAACCACAAAAATTTCTGGGCAAAAGTAGAAGATGAAAAGAAGCATCTTTCCAGGAACCAGGAAAGATTCCCTAAAACAAGAGAGCAGAGTGAGGGTGAGTCAATGGTTTGTGCGTGGATCCCCTCATGGGGGAGCTGGCAATATTAATAGAAGACATGAAGATTAAATACAAGCTTATTAAGATGGGGAATAAAACCTTTCAAAACTGCCATATTTAATAAGTCACAAATCTGGCAGATTTGATAAATTGACTTTTGTCAATGGATAAACGTAAGTAACTATTACGTATTAGAGAAGGCAATCAGTGTTGGATGTATGTCCCTCATGTGTCATGTCCCAAGTAGCCAATGGTTGCCACTCACTTTCCTTTCTAATCAATTAGAGCTGGCATGAAATTAATTGAAGGGAATAATTGATATCTAATAAAAGTCCTTAGGTTGCTGGGAGTGGTGGCACATGCCTTTAATCCTACTACTCAGGAGGCAGAGGTAAGTGAATCTTACCTCTGTGAATTCAAGGCTAGGCTGGTGTGTACAAAGTGAGTTTCAAGAGATCAGGGCTGTTACAGAGAGAAATCCAGTCTCAAAACCACAAACAAACAAATAAACAAACCCTAGCAATTCCTAGGTCAACAGTAAGTGTGTGAAAACATCAATATTATTATTCATTGGGGAAATATAAATTGAAATCATTGGAAGATACTACTACATCTCATCAAAAGAGCTAGAAAAAAAGATCAAAAATGGCAAGTGTTAACAAGGATTTAAAACCACACTTTCATACAAACCAGTAAAATTTTATTTATATGGGGCTGGAGAAGTGGTTAAGTGGTTAGAGCACTGACTGCTCTTCTAGAGGACCCCAGTTCAGTTCCCAGCCCCCTTATGGTGACTCACAACCATCTGTAACTCGAGATCTAGGAGACCTAATGTCCTCTTCTGGCTTCAGTGGACACTGTATCCATGTGGTACACAGAATCACATGGAGGTAAAACACCCAATACACATAAAAATTCATTTAAAATTTTAAATATATATTGTATTATAATATATAAATGTACATTCTACTTGTTATCTTATTTATAGTGAGATGTGAAATACTAAAGACACTTTGTTAACTGCATTTCTTGAAACCCAGCATCCAGTCAGCTCTGTTTTTACCTGGTTGTGAACACTAATGTGATAAATTGGCAAGTGAGCACTGTATGTTAAAACAATGGGATTTTGAACAAGGAATTCATAGTCACAAGGTCTCTCCCTCATAAATATAAAAATTATTTCTTAGGGGACGTTCAGAGATAGTGATGCCCTTGGTTAAGTCCGATTGCTGACCAGTTTTGGCTAATTTAACAAGAAACAGCATCCTTATGTTGTATATCTCAGACAACATCCATGGCATTTTATAGGAGTTTTCCAAATACACAATAGAAAAATCTATCCTATCAATAGTCAATAAAATATACATTAGGGAGGTTTTTAAACTGTCAAAATGAGACTGGGTTATAGTTCAATGGTAGAAAACTAGTCTAGGGTGTGTGAGACCTGGATTTGCTCACAATCATCACACATAATACATCTCTGATGGTGTACTTGGATTGGAGAGATGCTGGAAGATTTCATTGAGGAGGAATGAGTCTCTACTACAGAGAACAACCACAGATAGCAATATATTGTATTCTTTAAAACTATTTAAAGTGGGTATTAAAATGTTCTCATTATGAAATGATAACTTTTTTTCTTCTTTTCCGTACTTCCCCCTTCTTGAAGATTCAATTCCCTCATGTTTCCTCTTCCCTCCCTTTTCTCCCTTCCCCTCCCATTCTATGCTCTCTTCTTCTCCCCCCAAAAAACTCCCAATTTTCTCAGGAGATCTTGTTTGTTTCTCTTTCCCAGGGGATCCATGTATGTCTTTCTTAGGGCTCTCCTTGTTACCTATCTTCTCTGGGATCATGGATTATAGGCTGGTTATCCTTTGCTTTATTCTAGTATTCACTTATGAGTGAGTACATATCATGTATGTCTATCTGAGTCTGGGATACCTCACTTGGGGTGTTTTTTTCTAGATCTATCCATTTGCATGTAAATTTCAAGATGTCATTTTTTTTTTACAGCTGTGTAGTATTCCGCTGTGTAAATGTACCACATTTCTTTGTCCATTCTTCAGTTTAGGGGAACCCAGGTCCTTATAGTATGAGTGTGTACCCTGTAGGTATATGCCCAAGAGTGGTATTGCTGGGTTTTGAAGTAGACTAATTCCCTGAGGAACTGCTGTACATTTTTCCAAAGTGGCCATATAAGTTTGCATTCCCACCAGCAATGAAGAGGTATTTCTATTACTCCACATCCTCTCCAGTATAAGCTATCATTGATGTTTTTGATCTTACTCATTCTGTCAGGTGTAAGATAGTATCTCAGAGTAATTCTGATTTGCATTTCCCTGATTGCTAAGGATGTTAAGCAATTTCTTAAGTATTTTTCAGCCGTTTTCAATTCTTTTGTTGAGAATTCTATGTTTAGATCTGTACCCCATTTTTTATTGGATTTTTTGGTAATTTGATGTCTAGTTTCTTGAGTTCTTTGTATATTTTGGAGATCAGTTCTCTGTCAGATGCGAGGTTGGTAAAGATCTTTTCCCATTCTGTAAGCTGCTATTTTGTCATAGTGACTGTCATTTTCCTTACAGAAACTTCTCAGTTTCAGGAGGTTCCATTTATTAATTGTTGATCACAGTGTTTGTGCTACTGGTGTTGTATTTAGGAAGTGGTCTCCTGTGCCCATACATTCAAGGCTACTTCCCACTTTCTCTTCAATGAGGTTCGGTGTAGCTGGATTTATGTTGAGGTCTTGAATCCATTTGGACTTAAGTTTTGTGTATGGGACTAGATATGGACATATTTACATTCTTTTACAAGTTGGCATCCAGTTATGCTAGCACCATTTGTTGAAAATGCTTCCTTTTTTCCATTGTGTAATTTTAGTTTCTTTGTCAAAAATAAGGTAATTCTCTTTCTGAGTTGCATCTTTGTGTGGTTTGGGTACCAGGGTAACTGTCACCGCATAAAGAGAGTTTGACAATGTTCCTTCTGTTTTGAGTGTGTGGAATAATTGTTTTGAATTCTTTTTATAATTATTATTTTATTGATTTTTCCCTTTCTTTTTTTATTTATTAAGGATTTCTGCCTCCTCCCCGCCACCGCCTCCCATTTCCCTCCCCCTCCCCCAATCAAGTCCCCCTCC